TGAGACGGTGAAGCACCTGCACACACTGATAGAGAAGCCTAATGTCCTTGCAAAGCTACAACTCCCATTGTTCTATAGCGTCGGGACGGTGAAGCACCAGCACACACTGAAAGAAAAGCCTAAAGTCCTTGTAAAACTACAACTCCCATTATTCCATAGCGTTGAGACGGTGAGGCACCTGCACACACTGACAGAAAAGCCGAAAGTTCTTGTAAAACTAGAACTCCCATTATTCCATAATGTTGAGTTGGTGAAGCACCTGCACACACTGACAGAGAAGACTAAAGTCCTTGCAAAACTACAACTCCCATTATTCCATAAAGTTGGGACGGTGAGGCACCTGCACACACTGACAGAGAAGCCTATGTAGCAGTCAGCGGAAAAGAATGATTATAAAAATATATTTAAAAAATGAATATAGGAAAACTTACCTTGAAATACTAGCGAAGGAGTGTTTGCGGCAGGGAGAAGCGAAATGTTCCATAGACGAAAGTAAGGGCTTCAGAGATCAAGGAAGTTAAATATTAACGGGAACATGACATTTGGGAAACAATAATAAAGTGAGATGTTTATCATCAAGGGAATGTTTCTGGCAACCAGACAAGGACGCTTGTGTAGATAATTGATCTGAGGCTGGAAAAGGTCAGAGCAGCATTTGGTGGTTCAGTGAGGTAAATAGCAGGTAACTTCAGATATATTACGAATATGGGAATAATTAAGATTTGAAACAATTATAAGTACGTCAATATAATATGTCATTGTGATGTATGGGAAAAGGTAATGCGAAATACCTCTGTTAATGTTTATATCTGTGTAAATGTCATGGCAATTGTGCGCATGTCTGAACTAGTGAATTTTGCTATAAATATTGTAAGCTGACTGACTTCTAGTACGCTTCAGATCATGCTTCTGAGCGTCCTATCATGATAGTAAATATGCCTGGAATCAAATTTGCAGTCTCCGTCTCCTTCCTGCTTGATTGTGCTCTAAAATGATCCCGGGTAGCAAATCTGCCGCGACAAATGGGGGACTCGTCCTGGGATCGGAGCCAACAAGGAGAAGAATAGAGACGAAACCTTTTGAGGGTTTGATTGCCCCACTCAGCGGGTCGGGTAAGACGATGATCAGAAGGGGCGATACGGGTACCCATTGAGAGAAAACGACCCGGCTGATCTTCGCCTTCCCTGCCTCCAGACTGGGGTACATTGAGAGCTTTGATTCCATGGCATAGGTAAAGGAAAAGGCCTTAAAAAGGGGTACATTGGAAGTACCTGGGGAATATTTCACTGTGGGATTGCTGCAGAAATCAAGTGAAAACCCCCCGAGTGATTGTTTTCGCTACAGAAATCACACTCACAGGTTGGAGGAATACCCTTTCAGGGGGAAAGAGAACAATTTTTAAAAAGGGAGTTTATGATGAAGAGGTTGGAGATGATCCAGACAGAACTTATTTAAATGAAGGAGAAAGGTCGGGAGCCATTTTGTTCCCTGCTATGGGTTCAGTTTCAAATATAAGACAATTCGGGAAAAACTCTCAGCTCAAGTTGAAAAGTTGGAAAGAAAACTGTGGTTGGAATAAGGGCTTTGCAGCTATAATGATAAGATCTCTTTATGAAGTTACAAAGGGGGGTGAAAGGGAACCATTTAATTGGACCCCAAATTTGCCCAAACATTTGCATAGTTGAAAGCAAGCTTTGATGCAAGCATCGGCCTTGGGCTTGTTTGAATTGAAGATGCCATTCATATTTTATGTTGGTGAATGAGATGAAATAACAGGAGGGGTGCATACCCAGCTATTAGGAACATGGCCGAGACCAGTAGCTTACTTGTCTAAGCAAATTGACCCTGTAGTAAAAGGTTGACCAACTGGTCTATGTGCTGTAGTTGCTATGGCCTGGCTGACTCAGGAAGCTGATAAATTGACTTTGGGACAAGAGTTAATAGTTAAAACCCTCATTCAGTAATGGCTATCATGAACTATAGAGGATATCATTGGTTCATAAATAGCCATATGCAAAAAATATCAGATTTTATTATGTGAAAACTCTTAAATCAAGTTACAGACTTGCAGTATATTAAAGTCTGGTTCACTTCTGCTTGTTGAAAGGGAAATGCTTCAACATGATTGTTTAGAAATTATGTATGAGATATATTCCAATAGATCTGATATAAAAGATTAACCATGGCCTGAGGTAGATGCCACTCTTTTTACAGATGGAAGTAATTTGGTTGAAAAAGGAAAAAGATATGCTGGATATACAATAATAACTATAACTACTGTGTGGGAAATAGAACCACTTCCTCTAAATGCTCCAGCTCAGAGGGCAGAACTGATAGCACTCATTAGAGCTCTGGAGTTATTAGAAGAAAAAATAGTCAACATGTATACAGATTCTAGATATGCATTCACTACCTTATATGCATGTGGAGCATTATATAAGGACAAGGGACTACTAAATTCTGTTGGGAGAAATATAACATAGTGAGACCATTTTGAAATTATTAGATGCTGTTTGAGTTCCTGCATCAGTAGCAGTAATGCACTGCAGAGTACATCGATGTGATGAGGAATGTGTGACCTATGGAAACTGGTAGGCTGATACCACAGCAAAGGCCGCGACCCGAAAGGGACGAGGAAAAGAGCTGGTCATAGCCCCTTTGCAGATAAAAGACTGGATACATTATACTAGAATAAGGAAAGCATCACTCGAAGGGACTGTGACTCTTGATCCAAAGGATTCCTTTGAGACTTTGTATCATCAAACCAGCAGTGACATGAGATCCAGAAGGAGGACTACGGCTCTGGTTTTGACTACATCTGAACGCGGGTTAAATACATCAGACAGAAGAATGAGGAGCACTGTGAAGATGCCAACGTGTATGGAACATTCTTCAATAACTGTGATAAATGATTGTGTTAAATATTATTTTTTTTGCTAAAAATGTAATTGCGTGAGTTTGCGAGTCTACTGTGGAACATCCGCTCGCAAAAAGGGGGGAATGTAGCAGTCAGCGGAAAAGAATAATTATAAAAATATATTTAAAAAATGAATATAGGAAAACTTACCTTGAAATACTAGCGAAGGAGTGTTTGCGGCAGGGAGAAGCGAAATGTTCCATAGACGAAAGTAAGGGCTTCAGAGATCAAGGAAGTTAAATATTAACGGGAACATGACATTTGGGAAACAATAATAAAGTGAGATGTTTATCATCAAGGGAATGTTTCTGGCAACCAGACAAGGACGCTTGTGTAGATAATTGATCTGAGGCTGGAAAAGGTCAGAGCAGCATCTGGTGGTTCAGTGAGGTAAATAGCAGGTAACTTCAGATATATTACGAATATGGGAATAATTAAGATTTGAAACAATTATAAGTACGTCAATATAATATGTCATTGTGATGTATGGGAAAAGGTAATGCGAAATACCTCTGTTAATGTTTATATCTGTGTAAATGTCATGGCAATTGTGCGCATGTCTGAACTAGTGAATTTTGCTATAAATATTGTAAGCTAACTGACTTCTAGTACGCTTCAGATCATGCTTCTGAGCGTCCTATCATGATAGTAAATATGCCCGGAATCAAATTTGCAGTCTCCGTCTCCTTCCTGCTTGATTGTGCTCTAAAATGATCCCGGGTAGCAAATCTGCCGCGACACCTAAAGTCCTTGTAAAACTACAACTCCCATTATTCCATAATGTTGAGATGGTAAGGCACCTGCACACACTGATAGAGAAGCCTAAAGTCCTTGTAAAACTACAACTCCCATTATTCCATAGCATTGAGACGGTGAGGCACCTGCACACACTGACAGAAAAGCCGAAAGTTCTTGTAAAACTAGAACTCCCATTATTCCATAATGTTGAGTTGGTGAAGCACCTGCACACACTGACAGAGAAGACTAAAGTCCTTGCAAAACTACAACTCCCATTATTCCATAAAGTTGGGACGGTGAGGCACCTGCACACACTGACAGAGAAGCCTAAAGTCCTTGTAAAACTACAACTCCCATTATTCCATAATGTTGAGATGGTAAGGCACCTGCACACACTGATAGAGAAGCCTAAAGTCCTTGTAAAACTACAACTCCCATTATTCCATAGCATTGAGACGGTGAGGCACCTGCACACACTGACAGAAAAGCCGAAAGTTCTTGTAAAACTAGAACTCCCATTATTCCATAATGTTGAGTTGGTGAAGCACCTGCACACACTGACAGAGAAGACTAAAGTCCTTGCAAAACTACAACTCCCATTATTCCATAACGTTGGGATGGTGAGGCACCTGCACACACTGACAGAGAAGCCTAAAGTCCTTGTAAAACTACAACTCCCATTATTCCATAATGTTGAGATGGTAAGGCACCTGTACACACTGATAGAGAAGCCTAAAGTCCTTGTAAAAGTAAAACTCCCATTATTCCACATTCTACAGGTATATATCAACCTCACTTGTCTTCAACAGACCTCACAACCTCTGAGGATGCCTGCTATAGATGTGGGGGAAACATCAGGAGAGAATGCTGCTGGAACATAGCCAGACAGCCCAGAAAACTCACAGCAACCCAGTGATTCCGACCATGAAAGCCTTCGACAACACATTGCGTTGAATATTTGTTAGGCCAAAGTGGCAAAAGCAAAGGATATAGATTTCAATTCATGGCAGCCATCTTGACTTCAGGCCTGACAGGCTCCATTGTGTGATTTTTGAACAGCATTCGGTCTATTCTTTTCCAGCACGTTTTCAACTACTGTTTCTCTCGATCCGCTTTCTTCTCTGCCCATCTTTATCAAGTCAGCCACAGTTCTCCCAGTGAGCCTGAGGTGGTGGAGAAGGGCAGCAGCCATCTTGGATTGATTCATCAAAGCCTTGCTTTTGTCCTTTTGTGGAGTTTGCTCTACTCCAAGTTGGATCCGGCCCTTACAAATGGCATGGCGGTCTTACTGGAGGCCTGCATCCAAGACAGGGCCAAGAGAAGGGCAGGTTTATGCCAAAGAACGATGGCGGCTCTGGGCAACTGGAAGACATGGCGGCGTGCGAGGAGGTGGGTAGACGAAGCCAGGCCTCGGAAGGAGGAAAAAGACCCACAGAACTGGGGAGAAGAGAAGGAACGGCGTCTGGGTTGGGCGAGGGAATTGAGAGGCAGCTGTGACAGGGAACTGGAGGCAACAGGGTGTTGTGTGTGAGGGAATTGTGAAGCACACAATGATGGAGCTGTGGAGATTGTGAGGCACACAAAGCTATGAGAGGGAACCGAGAAGGCCGGAAATGGCATCTGAGAAAGAGACAGAATGCTGTGTGAGGGAATTGAGAGGCTGCCATGGGAGGATATAATGAAGGCAACAGGGCATCGTGTGTGAGGGAATTGTGAAGCACACAGAGCTATGAGAGGGAACTGAGAAGGCCGGGAATGGCGTCTGAGGGAATTGACACAATGCTGTGTGAGGGAATTGAGAGGCAGCTATGACAGGAAACTGAAGGCAAAAGGGTGTTGGTGAAAGGGAATTGTGAAGCACACCGTTGTGTGTGGGGATTGTGAGGCACACAGAGCTATGAAAGGGAATCATAGAATCAAAGAGTTGGAAGAGACCTCCTGGGCCATCCAGTCCATCCCCATTCTGCCAAGAAGCAGGAAAATTGCATTCAAATCACCTCTGACAGATGGCCATCCAGCCTCTGTTTAAAAGCTTCCAAAGAAGGAGCCTCTACCACACTGCTGAACAGCTCTCACAGTCAGAAAGTTCTTCCTCATGTTCAGGTGGAATCTCCTTTCTTGTAGTTTGAAGCCATTGTTCCGTATCCTAGTCTCCAGGGCAGCAGAAAAGAAGCTTGCTCCCTCCTCCTCCCTGTGGCTTCCTCTCACATATTTATACATGGCTATCATGTCTCCTCCCAGCCTTCTCTTCTTCAGGCTAAACATGCCCAGTTCCTTTAGCCACTCCTCATAGGGCTTGTTCTCCAGACCCTTGATCATTTTAGTCGCCCTCCTCTGGACACATTCCAGCTTGTCAATATCTCTCTTGAATTGTGGTGCCCAGAATTGGACACAATATTCCAGGTGTGGTCTAACCAAAGCGGAATAGAGGGAGAGTACTTCCTTAGATCTAGACACTATGCTCCTCTTGATGCAGGCCAACATCCCATTGGCTTTTTTTGCCGCCACATCACATTGTTGGCTCATGTTTAACTTGTTGTCCACGAGGACTCCAAGATCTTTTTCACACGTACTACTCTCAAGCCAGGCATCCCCCATTCTGTATTTCGTTTTTTCTGCCCAAGTGGAGTATCTTGCATTTGTCCCTGTTGAACTTCATTTTGTTAGTTTTGGCCCATCTCTCGAATCTGTCAAGATCGTTTTGAATCCTGCTCCTGTCCTCTGGAGTCTTGGCTATCCCTCCCAATTTGGTGTCGTCTGCAAACTTGATGATCCTGCCTTCTAACCCTTCATCTAAATCATTAATAAAGATCCTGAACAGGACCGGGCGCAGGACAGAACCCTGCGGATGGCACTCTGCTTGTCACTTCTTTCCAGGATGAAGAGGAAGCCTTGGTGAGAATCACCATTTAACCAATTACAGATCCACGTCACCGTAGTTTTGCCTATCCCACATTGGACTAACCACTTTACGGCAGATAAACTGACCTCTAGTGATAACAGATTGGTATGGCCCCTAACTAACTAATTTGTCCAAGCATGTTATTAAAACCATGAAAAAATATTGGCAACTCATAAGTGACATCCCTGGGTGCGAGAGACCTCCCATGATCGCACATAAAAGAACATAGAACATCAGACACATGCTAGTACATTCAGACATAGACTACCATTCTCAAACCACTAAAGCCAAACCCAACTTAGTAGGAAATTTTGCATGCCACCACTGTTCGATATGTCCGCAATTCATCCAGACAAAGGTATTTCAGAATCCTGATGAAGCCGAGCACCCCGCTCCCAAAAAAAAGGGGGATAGTGACTTATAGTTCTGCAAAGGCCAAGGGTACCAGACTACACAATAGGGGTTAAGTCTTGGTCTCATTGCCAAGGCAAGGACAACAACAAGGACCCCACGAGGCTTTTGGGGAATGGCTGGATCTTGGGACTTCTGCCCTTCATGAGAGTTGTAGTTTTCCAAGGACCAGCTTCGATCCCAGCGTGGCAGCTCTGCCTAATGTTTTGGACTCACAAGGACATCCTTCCCGCTCATGAACTTCCCTCAAAATGAACTATGGACTCACTTTGCTTGAAAATAATTTCTTTATTAAATTTCTCTGGTGGGAGGGATGGAGAAGGGGTGATTGATATGAATTTCCTACAATTTCTATATACTTTCCTTCTATGTATTTCCTTCCCAAGTCTGACCCAGCCATGAACTCTTTTGCCCTTTGGGAGGCTGATCAGGAAGCAGTCCGCTGGGCTGAAAAGGCAATCAGGAATCACAAAAACACCTATTTACTTGCAACTCACATCTGGACAATGGGACCTGGAGTTACTATTTGACTTTAGGAGGGGGTCATCAGACTGTGATTTCCTCTGCCAAGCTTTCCTTCACAACGAACATCCTTCCCAGCCTCACCTTTTACCTTATCTGATCCTGGAAGAGAAAACCTGAATCAAATTATTATCCCTAATCACTGATCCATCACAAGAACAAAAAAAAAACTAGTTTCCTTGGCTGGCTGATCCCTCGGGCATAGGAAATCCAGGACAGTGGAATGTCATCATAGAATCATAGAATCATAGAATCAAAGAGTTGGAAGAGACCTCATGGGCCATCCAGTCCAACCCCCTGCCAAGAAGCAGGAATATTGCATTCAAATCACCCCTGACAGATGGCCATCCAGCCTCTGTTTAAAAGCTTCCAAAGAAGGAGCCTCCACCACACTCCGGGGCAGAGAGTTCCACTGCTGAACAGCTCTCACAGTCAGTAAGTTCTTCCTCATGTTCAGGTGGAATCTCCTCTTGTAGTTTGAAGCCATTGTTCTATGTCCTAGTCTCCAAGGAAGCAGAAAACAAGCTTGCTCCCTCCTCCCTGTGGCTTCCTCTCACATATTTATACATGGCTATCATATCTCCTCTCAGCCTTCTCTTCTTCAGGCTAAACATGCCCAGCTCCTTAAGCCGCTCTTCATAGGGCTTGTTCTCCAGACCCTTGATCATTTGAGTCGCCCTCCTCTGGACACATTCCAGCTTGTCAATATCTCTCTTGAATTGTGGTGCCCAGAATTGGACACAATATTCCAGGTGTGGTCTAACCAAAGCGGAATAGAGCATGGGGAGCATGACTTCCCTAGATCTAGACACTATGCTCCTATTGATGCAGGCCAAAATCCCATTGGCTTTTTTTGCCGCCACATCACATTGTTGGCTCATGTTTAACTTGTTGTCCATCTGTCCACTGGACACATAGTCCCTCTTCCATCCCGCCTCCCTCTCCCTGATTTGCTAAGGAGCCGAAAAGGGAGGGAGTTTTGAAACTTTCAAACCTGTATTTTGCTATAAATATGCCTCTGATCAATGTACTGGTATGCTTGCATGTGAATGATCACTGCAATTGCATCCGTCTCAGCTGAATCACTCATTAAACCTCGATGCCTCTTCTTCTCTTTGGCAAGAGTCTCATTTCAATTTTTAATATTATTAAAATTGCTGGAATCAGGCTTCTCTGAAGGCTCGCCAAGGTCATGGACCCTGTTTGGAGCGGTCCTAGGGGTCTCTCTTACTGGGGAGACCCTCCTAAAGTCCGTATTGACTTCACTGACACCAAAGCTCTTTACCGGTTACAACATTTTGCCACTTGTACTACCAAAGGCATGGTCTATATTAATTTTTGCCCATGTTCTCTTATGTATATTGGCCAAACAAGCAGGCAAGTCAAACAACGGATCATTGAGCACAAGAGCAAAATCAGAAATCACTCCGCTGATTCCATTTTTTATAAACATTTTGCTGATTTAAATCATAATGCAGAATCACTCCAGGTGCTGGTTTTAGAGGTTGTCACCCCCCCCCCTCTAATTTGGATTTGAGTACTAAATTATTGCAGCGTGAATCCTTTTGGATCTTTACCCTTAAAACTGCACATCCCAATGGTCTAAATGACACCATTTCATACCAATGTTTCCTGTATACCATAGTTTATTTATTTATTTATCGTGTCATCAGCAGCCATACCATTGTATTACATTTCTAACAGAACAAAACAAACAAACAGATTTTTTAAAAACCCACAGATTTTGCAAACTTGGTAGTTGATTAAATGTCCTTTGACCAGTATCTGGCCCCTTGGAGTGCCTCTGGTGTTGCTGCAAGAAGGTCCTCCCTTGTGCATGTGGCAGGGCTCAGGGTGCATTGCAGCAGGTGGTCAGTGGTTTGCCCTTCTCCACACTCGCATGTCGTGGATTCCACTTTGTGGCCCCATTTCTTGAGGTTGGTCTCTGCATCTCGTGGTGCCAGAGCACAGTCTGTTCAGCACCTTCCAAGTCACACAGTTTTCTGTGTGCCCAGGGAGGAGTATCTCATTTGGTATCAGCCATTGGTTGAGGTTCTGGGTTTGAGCCTGCCACTTTTGGACTCTCGCTTGCTGAGGTGTTCCAGCGAGTGTCTCTGTAGATCTTAGAAAACTATTTCTTGATTTAAGTCGTTGACGTGTTGGCTGATACCCAAACAGGGGATGAGCTGGAGATGTCTCTGCCTTGGTCCTTTCACTATTGGCTGCTACTTCCTGGCGGATGTCAGGTGGTGCAATACCGGCTAAGCAGAGTAATTTCTCCAGTGGTGTAGGGCGCAGACACCCCGTGATAATGCAGCATGTCTCATTAAGAGCCACATCCACTGTTTTAGTGTGGTGAGATGTGTTCCACACTGGGCATGCGTACTCAGCAGCAGAGTAGAATAGCGCAAGGGCAGATGTCTTCACTGTGTCTGGTTGTGATCCCCAGGTTGTGCCAGTCAGCTTTCGTATGATGTTGTTTCTAGCGCCCACTTTTTGCTTGATGTTCAGGCAGTGCTTCTTGTAGATCAGAGCACGGTCCAGAGTGACTCCC